TTAGAGAATACAGAAAGGAGTGAAATTGGACGATAGTTACTTATATTCTCAATGTCACCACTTTTTAATATTGGTATGACTTTTGCTAATTTTAGAGCATGTGGAAAAATTCCCTGTTTAATTGATATTGAAAAAATTTTAAAGAGTATATCTTTTAAAACATCAAATGAACTTATAATAATGTTGCCATTGATACCATCAGGGCCTACTGCTTTTTTAGATTTTAACATTTTAAAGGCATTTTCAAACTCTTCAAAAGATAATTCAAAAGAGTTCAAGTAAGAGTTTAGAGGGAAACGTAGATCATTCATTAAACCGTTAGCTATAGGAATTCTTTTTGCCAGATTTGGTCCTACAGACACAAAATATTTATTAAATTCTTCCGTAATTTGTCTTTTATCATATAAAAATTCATTATTATGTTTAACCGTGTTTGGCAAAGAGTGAGATGTACATTTTTTGCTGCTAGTAATTTCTCTTATTATAAACCAAGTGCGTTTAAAATTTAATTTATATATATTTAGTAAATTTAAATAATAATTTTTTTTTTGTTTTTTCTTGAGGCTTTCAAAAAGTTTAGCGTAATTTTTATATATAATTTTATTTTCATTTGTTTTAGATTTTAAGTAATTAATGTATAATTTTTGTTTAATTTTTGAAGACTTCCGCAAACCCTTTGTAATCCAAGGCGATTTAATACTTTTAGCTTTGAGATTTAAATTAACTTCAGGGAAATTAGTTTCATAAATATCATAGAAAGATTTAAAAAAGGAGTTATAAACTAAGTTTATATCATCAGAGGTGTTAATAATGCTCCAATCAATTAGAGATAATTGTTCCTTAAAAGATTTAAGGTTTTCATTTGTAAAAAATCGCTTTTTGAAAACTCGTTTTTCATTAGGAACTAATTTATTATCTATATTTATAGAAAAGAAAATAGGAAAATGATCAGATATGTCATTTTTAATTATGCCTTTTTTTAAGGATTCGTTAAAAACATCAGTGGTTAAAATATTATCAATTAAAGAGGCACTTGATTGAGTAATTCTTGTCGGTTTGCTAATCAAGGGAATCGCACCATTTTCAAAAATGCCATTATAAAACCTTTTAATGTTATTATTGACGTGGTATTGAAAACAATCTAAATTCAGATCACCCACTAAGTAGATAAATTTATTTTCGTGGTTACTTTTTTTAATAACGTCATTACATAAAAACGAATTAAAATTTTTAATTTCACCTGAAGGTGGGCGATAACAACAACTTAGAATTTTATTTTATTGGTTAAAATTTCAATCGTTAAAACCTTTTTATCAGCATCAAAGATGCTCATGTCATGCCGGGTAAAATATCGTAAGTTATTTTTAACATAAATAAGAACGCCTCCGCCACGCTTATTTGTTTTTCGTGCTAATGAAATTACATTAAAACCCGGCAGTTCAAAATTGGTAAAAAAATTTACGTCATCCGAACTGCACCATGTTTCTGTTAAGCAAATTATATTAAATAGATTACAAGTTTCTTCAATAAAATTACGAAAGATTTCAAAATTTTTTTTTAAACTGCGGATATTTATGTGAATTGTGTTAATATTATTTTGATCAAGAAATCCTTTAATTTCATGGGTATAAAAGTAGTTGCATTTATTTTGCAAAGCACCAGAATTAGAAAAATAATTAAGATCAGGATCAGATTCATCATCTAATAAGAAATCATTTGTTTGAAAAAAATTATAAAAACTAGACTCAAAATTTAAGGTTTCGTTAGAATCCATTTTATTTTTGTTTTTTCATAATCGAAATAAGATCAAAGAATTTCTTTTATAAATCCCGTGTGATTAATTTATTATATTTATACTTTATTACTTTCCAACTTGAGCAGTAGGTTATGTGCAGCAAAATAAATATAAAATCCCAAAAAGTCTGACAACTATTTTAAAGCGTATCAACAGCTTTTGTAAAGAAAAATGTACTGAACCTCCGGAAAATTTTGTAATATTACAAAATACGATTTTCAAGTTATTGTCGGTTTTTTTTCGAATTTAGTCGGCTAGCCGGTTATCTGACACAAATCAGTCAGGTAAATTTTAATTTTGAGAACCTTTTTTTTTTGCTTGACCAGTTAGTATTTTTTAAGGAATCTCTCTCTCCCCCCCCCCCCCTCATTTTATTTGTAGAATCACCTCTGTAGACAGATTGGATTATTTTACTTTATCTAAACATAACAGCTCATGTGCTTGGAATGGACTCAAACACAACTGAAAGCTATGCAAGGCGGTCCCGAAGAGATCTTAAAGGAGTGGGGGTGACATATCTTTGCGGACTAAGGCCTAAATAATATTTTACTGACTAAGATCTTAAAAATAAAATAAACTATTGCATATCTCATAACAGCTGAAGGAGTTACAAATTTTTGTTTGAAAAGTTGCAACCAAAAACACACAAAATTGTTGCTAAATTGATAAATATATTGAAAAGAAGAAAGAATTCGTCAGTTAAAATCTTTTAAAAAAAGATCAACAATCTTGGACCTATTGTACCACGCTTTAATAACTATTTGTCCAAAAATTTGTCTGATAGAGTTTTCTTAACAGCAGGTTCAATTAAGACAAAGGAAAAACAAGTTAGAATTTTAAAACAATCAATTGACATTTATTTTGAAAATATATATTTAAAAAAAATATATATTTAAAAGAATAATGGAATCATTTAAAATTAATTACTAAACGTTATTTTATTGAATTATTACTAGTCTTCATTTTTGTATATACGTCATTTTACTTTTGATGAACTATTCGAGTATCAGAGTATTCGCATATATATGCATATATATATATATATATATATATATATATATATATATATATATATATATATATATATATATATATATATATATATATATATATATATATGTATATATATATATATATATATATATATATATATATATATATATATATATATATATATATATATATATATATATATATATATATATATATATATATATATATGTATATATATATATATATATATATATATATGTATATAAATTTCAAAAATAATAATTGTTTTATATAATGGTTACTAGTTTAAATTTTATGGCTTAAAAACTATCCTTTTTTAAATAAAAAAATGAAAAGTACATATTTTAAAGTTTTTTTTTTAAAATAAACTTTTTTAATTTGAGTTTCCATAAGTTGTTTTAATAATTTTTGAAATTTTTATAAAATTTCACTTCTTTTGAGACCCAAGATGATATACTTATGAAGAACTTTTTTTTAAAATATTAGGGACCCGTTTAATGTTTAAGGGTCTTGAGGGACCCCTAAAATTTATTTTTATTTAAAAAAAGTTTTTTTAGGGAGTGGCAGCAGACATTTTCAAAAAAAGTTGTTTTTAGGGGCACTTTAATAATATATATATATATATATATATACATATATATATATATATATATATATATATATATATATATATATATATAATATATTATATATATATATATATATATATATATATATATATATATATATATATATATATATATATATATATATCTTATGCTGCTGAGTTAGGTGAGCATGATGATGTCATACTCACCTAACGTCAAATAGCCTGCTGCCGGGGGCTTCAATTCATACATCGACTGACAAATAGCACGACTCGTAGTGGAGTGTTGCTACATCGACTGAGGGTTTAATATGGGTCAGCAACCTTTTCATTCATTATTCTTCGTTTTCCCTCATCGTTTTCTAAAAACGCTCACTTTATTTAGCAAAAAATGTGAGCAATTGCGCATATAAATATGCTATAGTATATATATATATATATATATATATATATATATATATATATATATATATATATATATATATATATATATATATATATATATTATATATATATATATATATATATATATATATATATATATATATATATATATATTAGGGATGTACCGAAGCTGCAATTTTGCCGAAGCCGAAGCTTCGGCCGAAGCCACTTTGCCGAAGCCGAAGCTTCGGCTTAAGTTATACGTAATTTAAAGCTCAATTTACTTCACCACGGTGGTTTGAATAATCAAGTTGCTTTCAAAATTATATATCAATGTTTTAGGTTTCAATGTTTTGGCCTACATGCCCATTTTAGGAAAATTATAAAACAAAACCAATATTATAAAAAATTTAAACAAATTTTGTACAAAAATTTAGAGAGTGAAATTTAGAGTCTTAACTCTATATATCTAGCAGGTATAGGAAAAATTACATCACTAAATCTTAGACATTTACTGATACTTAAGGTAAATTATGGTCTATTCTTTGAAAGAATTTATAAAAATGTAAACACGTAAAATGTAAAAATATAAAAGTAGTCATTATTTTAATTTGAACACAAAATTTGGTATTTGTTTTAAATTTTGTTAAAAAGTTGAATCAGTTGAACTAAGAAGCTACAGTCTATTATTTAGTTAATAAAAATTTATTCAATGAAAGCAGGCATATTACAATTTAAAAATGCAATCTGTTCTCCATGTTCGGGTAATAGTCTGTTTCTTTTTGCTTCAAATATGTTTCCAGATGTGCTAAATAAGCGTTCACTTTTTACAGATGAAGGAGGCGCGCACAAAACTTTCTTTGAAAACTTTGACAAATTCAACTTGTAAGTATCTTTATCAGAGGAAGTGTAACGGTATGCACTCCACCACTTATAAGGGCATTCATTCTTTGGCAGTATTGGAAGGCTCAAGTAGAAGTTGACTTCATTGGTGCTGATACATAAAATATAGGTGATAATTTTAGGTTTAAATTTTTAAAATATTACAATTTAATCAACTAAACAAAATAAAAGAATGCTGTTATCCGTCTTTTGAAATAAAAAAAATGGAGAATGAGAATAGAGATAAAAAAAATATTTAATATTTAATGTATAAACAATATAAAAATCATAAATAGATTCTGTTTCCTTACTATTTTTCTTTGACAGTTAGAGTTTTTCCCATTGAACTGTTTTTGATAGTGTTTTTTTTCTTTTTTCTCCGTCTGTCAGAATTTTCTGAATTTTGTAGAGCATACTCATTTGCACCGATTTGGTGGAACAAGCTATATATGTCCATGCTCATTAGTTTTTTTTTTTTTTTAATGGAGAGCCATGGCCATCAAAATCTGAGTCGGACTCATGAATTTTAGATTCTGAAAATGAACTTAATGATTCTTCTGAGTCTGATCCACTACCTCTTGCTACACCAAATTCAATTTCTTTTACTTGTTCTAAATGAGATTTGGAACAAAAACGGTAGAACTCTAAATGGAGTATTTCTTTAAACATATTATGATTCTTGTCTTCAACAAACTTTAACTTGAAACGAGGATCAAGCATCATCGCGATTTTTAAATCAACATTATCCTTGTATTTTTGAAAACGACAGTTAAAATCTTTCTTAAGTTCATCAACAACAGTTTTTATTTCAGTTGCCGTGTCACAAGCGTAGTCTAGAAATTTTTCCATTGCATAGATAAATGGTATAATCTCTGATATACATGCCGTTTCTTTACTCATGTCTTTTGTAGTACTTTCGAAGTGTTTTAATATGCATACAAGCATTTTAGCAAGTTGCCATTGATTTTCCGTAGGATTTTTTGCATTTGTTTGATTTCTGGTAATGCAATACAATGTAATAGCTTTTTTCTGCTCAATGAACCTTTCAAGCATATAGTATGTCGAATTCCATTTTGTGGAAACATCTTGAATTATGTTATGCTCTGGCAATTTTAGTTGACTTTGAATTTCCTTTAGTTTAGCCACAGCACTAGATGAGTGGTGGAAATGTCCTGCTAATGCTCGAAAAACAGCTATTGTATAACTTGCTGTTCTTTGTTCTCTAAAAATCTTTTTCTGAATACAAAGTTGTAAAGTATGTATCAGACATGGAAGATGTTTATCGCCTAAATTTGACTCTTTAATGGCAGCCATTACATTGGCTGCATTATCAGTTAAAACTGCATGAATTTTTTCATGGGGAATTTCCCATGATTGTAGCGCTTCATTTATGAATTTACTTATATTGTGCCCTGTGTACGACTCAGGGAAGTGTGTAACTTGTAAGATGACATGTTTAACTGTAAACTCATGCGTTACAAATCTAGATGTTAAACTGTAATACGATTGAATTGTGTGCTGACAGGTCCAACCATCACTAGTTAAACTTAAGAAATCTGCTTGATCAAGCTCATATTTTACTTTGGCTTTTATGGTTTCATACATCAGTGGAATGACTTTTGTGGAGAAATACTTTCGACTAGGTATTGTATAGTTTGGAGCTAAATTCTTTAAAAGTCGGGTAAAACCTTTATCTTCAACAATACAGTATGGCTGCAAGTCTAAACATATCATTTCTCCAATAAGCTTGGTAATAGCTTGAGCCTTAGGATTATCAAGTTGCCACAATTCTTTTCTTTGCAAAATCTCCCGCAGTGAGACCTGAAACAAATTCAAAGAATTAAAAAAATTACTTAGCAACTTGTAACTAACAATGGCCAGCGACGGATCTAAGTGGCGGATAGAGGTATGTATCTTTCCCCCCTCACCAGTACATTTATTATAATGTTATAAGCTTAGATAAGTTAAGTTAACATTTTTCTATACAAAAGATAATTTTTCGACAAGACATGCCCCCATCCAGTCACAAAATCATGAATACTGAATAGTAAATAAATTCAGCTACAGTTAGCTGAGTTACCTGTGTCGATGCTTTTTGAAAAAAGGCAATTGTGTTATTAGACACACGCGAGCTTCCCTGCGTTTCATCTGTAGCAGTGCTGGTAATGATTTGCACTGATTCAGCAGAGCTTGTTCTATCTGAGCATATTGTTCGAGTAGTGCAAAATTGTTTTATAGACGTTTTATTTGGATTTGGTAAAGATTCGTGGTTAATAATTTTCTTCTGAGAAAGAATCATGCTATGTATATTGTAATGTACTTTTTTCAGATGGTTTTGCGAATTTGTTGTTGACATGTTGTGTGCGTCTTTACTTCCTCTAGACAAATCTTCTTGCAAAGTATGCAGATGGCTTTGCCAACATCTTCATCACTGACTTTAAAATAATTCCATAAGGGATTTTTACTTCGCGATGAGGTAGCCATAATGCGCTAATGGATAACTTAAAGTTATAATAACAATTCTGAAAATTGAAATAGAAAGTTTAATTATTTTTTTACCTTTAATAATATTTATTGAAATAAACAATATTCGTTCAATTTTTTGATTCAAATATTATTTGAATTAAAAAAAATCGAAGTCGTAAATAACCAATTAACCTATATTTGTAGAGCAGGTATATTTACTTTTACTAATGATCCAGCGTACAAAATCAAAAACAAACGCAATTGACTTACATTTCAATTGTGCTTTTCTGTGTAGTGTCTTTTCTGTGTAGTGTCTTTTCTGTGTAGTGTCTTTCTGTGTAGTGTCTTTCTGTGTTCTGTCTGTGACTTAGTAAAACAAACTTTCTAAATAAAAATTGTTTCGTGCGTTAAAATTAACTTATTGTATAGATTTTTAAAAGTTTCGAGAATAGTTAACTCTCTTAACTCTCGTGCGCTATGTTTTAGTTACATCTAAGTAATTTTAAATGAAGATTTATTTCCAGGTTTAATTTTTAATTTTAATTTAATATTAAAAAATATATAATTTAACATAACTCGGATTTTAGAAGTTGATGCTAACTTATAACTAAATGCTAAAAAAATTAAATTTTAATAATTTTTCATTATTTTACTACCAACTAATGCATAAATAAATTTTATTGCTAAGCTCGAGTGATCATAACTAAATATTAGGGTTATGGTATTTAATTATATAAAGTTTACTATAATGTTACAGTTTAAATCAGCTTATATTGAGTGATTATAAAAAAATCAATGTATTTCATTAAGTAACTTTACTTTCTATCCGCTATCGTGCCGTTTTTGGCCGCCCTACACGCGGCCTTGCCACCTCCAAAAGCCGTTGCTGGATTCATTTAATCTTCGCAACTGTATAAATCAGAGGCTTATTTAAATTTCTCAGAAGAAGAAAAGAAAAAGAAGAATTTTGAACGTTCAACTACGTTTTATTCGGAAAACAGACAACGTGTAAACGTTTAAAAAATGTCTTCCTCAGTCGAATGCCAGCTTAGTAATGTCCATTTTTTTGCAGAAGCCAATGATTCGGCAAAAAACGCCCATGACTTCGGCCGAACCGAAGCTTCGGCAAAATTGCCGAAGCTTCGGTACATCCCTAATATATATATATATATATATATATATATATATATATATATATATATATATATATATATATATATATATATATATATATATATATATATATATATATATATATATATATATATATATATATATATATATATATATATATATATATATATATATATATATATATATATATATATATATATATATACATATATATATATATATATATATGTGTGTATATAAATATTAAACATTAGATATTTTTTTGTGGAAGACTAAGAAAAAAAAAACGTTAATCTGCTGCACTTTCCCAAAATAATTTATAGATTCTATGCAAGCATCAGCTTCACACAACCTAATCAAACTTAGCAAACGTGTTGCACATGGTAAAAACTTTACTAGGTTGTTTTTTCTAAAATAATTTTATTCATGTCTTATACTTTCCACTCATGCTAAAAGTATAAGTGTACGATTGAAATCTGTCTAAAAAGAATAAGATATGTCTAAAAATAATTAAGATCTGTCTACAAAGTTAAAAATACTTTTATTTACTTAAAAATTTACTGTTGCGTCATCTAAATTTGTGCCAGTATAATCCTCAATATTTACAAAATAAAAAAAACTTTCTAATTTATTGTATCAATAAATCTTAGAACTAAAAAAAGATGATCTGTGAGCAATGCATGGGCAGTAGAATCAACAGAAATGTATAATATCCAAAGTATATTTTTACCAATATCCAGAGTATATTTTTTATTATTTTATTTTTAAAAAAAGCGCGTGTTCTGAGGATGTGTTTTGAAGTTTTTATATAATTTCTGTTACTATTACATTTTAAGCTATAAGACTAATAGAAACCAGCACTTTTTACTATGCGATGTTACAAAATAGTATGAACTAAATTACTTAACGTTATAATGTTGTTTCTATCATCATAATTAAAACACTTCATTTTGATTTTCAAGTCTCAGTCTTTATAAATTTCCTAATTAAAGATTAAAAAAATTTGAAATTATTTTCAATAAATTGAAAACAGTATTGGTATAATACAAATAAAAATCTTTTTACAATATAAACTCTAAAAGAAATATTAAAAATTAGGTTTACATTTTTAGGGGCTCCAAAAATTTCGAGACTCAAGGCTGCATTGGGTCTTAGAATTGTGTGCATATATATATATATATATATATATATATATATATATATATATATATATATATATATATATATATATATATATATATACACACACACATATTTTTATATATACTCAAAGAATGTTTCTTAATTTGTTAACTTGTTATTTGTACTGTGAATATCTTTTAAATTTATAAACTTTTAAAATGTTCTTAATAATAATTGCATTGTTTTAAAATATTTTTAAAACAATAATACTACAGAATACAAAAAAAAAAAAAAAAAAATTAGGTAATGTAAGAATTATTAAACTTTTTTTAGAAAAAATATACTTCAAAAACAAAAATATAGCCATAAAGTGATATTTTTATCTAAATATTCTCTTCAAGTCTTGTATAGTGGCACGTTTAGACACCTTCCGCCGGTTGTCTAAAACCACCATCATCGTATCTTGAAGCTTATCTTCGGAATGTGTACTTGCAATGAAATCCTGCACCAATTTTATGTGTATTTCAACCCAGTCGTTACCAACTGCTAATTGGCGTACACTGGACACAAATATCTTGAAAGATTTAATGTTGAGATTTTTCTCCAAATTTGACTTTCCTTCTACTTTTCATGAGAGAATGTCATCTTTGGTTATACTAAGATGGATAATAAAACATTTATGAGAAACAAAGTCTTATAGCTTTAAGAGGAGAAAGACCTGTGTAAAAGGTTCTGTTTGTTTTTTGTCAAAGCTCTTCAACTCTAGAACACCATATTACAAGAAGTCTACTAGAATATCCATTCTCTCATTCTCCTCTAAGCGTTGGTCAACTAAAGCAAAGATAACACGCTTTGGTGTAAAACACCAAGTGTGAATGAGAATACTAAGATTAAGAGCTTTGTTAATCCTTTCATACTTCTTGCAGTAAAGTGGATCTGTCATATTTTGCAATGAAATCTTAGTTGCTCCAAGACCATTGGATGAAGCCTGAGCTGCCATTGTGCTATTCAGAAAGAATAAACAGTGAAAGATTACTATACAATCTGTTGCATCCTGTATCGTCTTCATCTCATTAATACTGAGTTGCTTGTTGTAAATCTTGGTCATTTGCATTGCTAACAAATACAATGAATCAGCCATAAATCTTGATTCGTGAAGGACACCTGTTTGTAGAAACTCGAAATTCAACAAATCTGCTCTTAGGTAAAAAGCTACCAGTTGACATAAATACTTGTAATCACCTCTGTCAAAAAATATTTGTTTTACGAGTTGTCGTACAGAACTGAGTTGTTTCATTTGCAAAATTGTAAAAGAGGGTTCCAAGAGAAAACTCAGGTCTGTTTTTCAATGTTAGCTAATGTATTAGCACCTTTTTCAATCTTGAGCTAAAGATCTTGATGTTTTTTGTATAAGGATTGACTGGGTCCCTTTGTTTCTCCCTGTAATTCCATCATACCATGTAGAACTATTATATGATGTCTATATTTATTATTATTATCATTTCCTTTCATTACTCTCAGAAAAAGATATAAGAAAAAAAATGCCTGTAATTGCTATAGTAAGACATTAGCCAAAGGAATGGACAAGGTAGAGAATAAACTGCAATACTTCTAATCGGACCATTATGTTTTCCAGTGTTTAAGCAAGTTGTGTCAGCACAACAAGCTTTGGTCTGGTCTGTTAAGTCATATTATGGAGGAGGGTACTTTAATTATTTCCAGAAGAAAGTCAAGTGAGCTAATCTCTGGAGAGGAAACACTCATTGCCAACTTTTCTACTGTTTTCGACATATTAACATTCGTCCGTACTGTTTGACCAAGTTTGTGTCAAAGTGAAGAACAAGTTTTAAAACCCGTATCTTATCTAGGTTCTTCTCTCTTACTATAAGTGCATCATGAATTGCTTCATGAATGCATTCTCTATAATTTCAATGTTTTTTCTTTCTATCTGCAACTTGTTAAACATTACAATATCTACTCCCCCAGCTTGCAATAGGGAACACAACATTTCTGTTTCAGTTCTCACGCTAACTTCATACCTAAAAAAAAACAGAGCATTGTCATCTTTTAAATTATGTAACATTTAAGTTGCTTTAACTTGAAGTTTTATATTTACTTGTAATATACATCACTTTTTTGTACATAAACTTATTTACCTTTTCATAAATGAAATCCACTTATCCAAAACATTGTTCAGACTTAGTTGAAGGCAAATCTTGGTTAAATTAAATAACTTTTTTTTCTTTGCAGTAGTAGTTTAAAAGAATGAATCATAATCTATTCAACTACACCCTGATATCCTGCTCAAAATTTCTCAAAGCTTCTTCTTCTGCTGCTTTTTCCAGTAACTGACTCTCTTTATTTTGCTCAATATTTGCTCTCAATTTCTTCTCCTGTTGCTCTTCTTCTACCATCTTCATCATCAAGTTTTTCATCATTTCCTCACCTTCAGCAACGATTTCAGCAAATGTTTTGTCATTTTTGTAGGACATCTTGCCCATGTCCTTTTTCAATACATCTCTTTACAAAAATTGAAATTTTTACCTTTTTCAATACATCTCTTCAAAAAAATTGAAACTTCTTTACAGCCTCTTTTTTCTAGGATCCTGGCTAACTAACTCAAAAATATTTACCTTGTGTATAGGAAACAAAATATTGGCTTTGTCTAAAAACTCATGAGTGTGTTGGTTCATGGTTTCTTTGCTCATCACTAGGGTTTCCATCTTTAAAACTTAATTATACTGGGTATGCAGAGCAACGATTCTAGTCCTAAATTAAAAAGTTACAACATTTAAAAAATGTCATCATTTTAAAGTATACCATAA